GCTTTGAATATTGAATGCATTGGTGAGCTTGTCATGTACCACTGCATCTGTAAAAAAAATATTTGGGCCACATTGCTGAGCTTTTCTGAATCAAATCAAATTCAAGCTTTGGCAAGCATTGCCACAAACCAGAAACAGCTGACTGACCAAAAAAAAGCCTTGAGGCTGTAATCATCAAAATGAAAGCTCTGACAGCATTGGCAAAAAAAAAATCTGGAAAACACGACACTTTCAAGACAAGTTTGCTTACTAGCAATTAGCTGGGCACCTGGGACAAAAGTTTCTTTGCAAAGCACCCTTTGTTTCTGAACTGGCACCCCTGCAAGTCACACTTGTCTATGCCACAATTGCCCAAAAGGCCTCCCAAGCTCTTCTGTGAGAGCAAACAGGATTCAAAGGAAATGATTTCACTTCCTTTTAGTACTCAGCTACTTCTTCTGGTACCACTTGTTGTATTCTTCTCTGCTGGAAAAGCGCTTGCCCTTAAAGAAGGGTGATCTGCATGTGTCACACCCTTGGATGCTACCTCTGCATCTGGTGCATCCATAGATGCCTTTCAAAAAGGCAGCTGTCACATGCTTGTCCTGGCCCTTCATGACAGCTTTGCTCTTCTGGGCCACATTGACCTTGGCAGCTTTGGCTGCTTGTTTGGAAGCTGGTCTCTTCAAGCATGGCATCTTTGTATCCAAAACCCTTGCCTTCTTTTTGGAAACCTTTTCCATGGCCTCCTGCTCATAATCTTCCAAGCTCTTTGCTGCATGGGAGTCATTGTTGTCAAGCCCCACCACAGGATCACAAGAGCCTTGGGCTTCATGTGCTGCAGGTGCAGGCAAGGGCAAAGGATCTGCCACTGCTGGCAAAGCTTTGGGGCTCAGCAAAGGTGAGGTCACTGAGCTTGCAGCAAGTGAACCCAAAGAAGAGCTAAAAGAACTGCTTGGCAAAGACACCTTGTCACTGTTTGCCATCTGGTTTTTCAAAGCATCCAAAGCCCTGGCTTGCTCTTCAATCTTGTTCATCATGTCACTCATCCCTGGAACAATGACCATAGGACTGGAAGAAGCAGATTGCTGAGGTGTGGCCACAGGCCTGAGCTCTCTGGAAGTCCCTCTGACCTTCACTTGCTTCAAAATGCTGCTGAAGTTGGCAACACTGTCTGGAAATGATTTCAAAGGCAAATTCCCAGGAGTGTAGCAAGCATGCAGGAAAGCCTGAAGGGTGCCAAAGCCCAATAATAACACATGAATCACTAATTTTAATGCAATTAAAAACACATGTACCTCAAACCTATTGGCTTGACAACATTGTAGGAAACCACTCACCCACAGAAGCAATATTTGAATATGACCCCTGTGCCTCCCCAATGTCATAAGGGCTTGGTGGGTATTTGGCAAGACCAGCATGCAAAGGCTGCACCACACAGGCCATGAAAGTGTCATGGACAAAGCCTGCAAGGTCATACATCTCTTGTGTTGAAGGTAATGGGTGGCCAGCTTTCATCTGTAGGCAAACCAGGAAGGCTGTGATGCCTTTCTTGGTATCTTCCCTGATGCTCTTCAAGCCACATGCCTTGACCCTCTTGATGATGATGTTGGCAGACTCCACTTTGTTGTACCCAAGCTGAAGCTGCTTCCATTCAGACTCAGAAAGGTAAGTGAAAGGCATGCTCATGCTCTGGGGCATTGTTTGCAGCCTTGTTGGGCCTTGGAGTGAAGCTGTTGCTTTGCCTTCTAAGGCATCTTCCAATTCCTTTTTCATCTCATCTGGTAAATTGCTTTTGCCAACAGCATCACAGAGCTTCACAAAGCTTGATGGTAACAGATTCTGCATGCCATCTATCTTGAACTTCAAAGCCTCCTTCATCCTGGGAAGCAGTTCAGATCCCCTATTCCTTTGCGAAATAAGTTCCATATCAGCTACCTCCTTTGCTAGGTCATCAACATGCCACACAGACATGGTGAGGGCAGGGAACCAGAAAGAAAGCAGGTGAACTCTTTACCTACTTGAGCCCACAGTCTTGAAACACATCAGAAAAATGAAAGCCAAAATTGGCAAAGCATTAGAACTATGTTGAACATGTACACTTTATGATTTTCATCACATTCAATGAGTATTCATTGAATGAAAACAAAAATATGGCTTGACTAGTCAATCAAAAAAAAGCCTCAATGGGCTAGTGCCATGGTAATGAAAGCCACAATGGGCCAGCGTTACAAAACTGAACTAAATCATGCCTTCAAAATAGTGACATGGTTACTGAATACAAATGTATTGTGTTTTCACTTTCCTTTCAGCTGAGGAATGTCTTCTTTTCACAGTTCATGCTTGATCTGTACATGATCAGCTTCAGCAAAACCTGAAATCTCTCTCACTGCTGGTTGTTTTCAGGAAATTGGCAGCCAGCAAGTGCATAGTGGATCCTCATGAGTCTGTCCAAGCTTTCAGGAAGCAGAAGTGGTCCATCTTCTTCTCTAAAATACTCATCAGCAGGTCTCCTTGGTGAAACAAAACAAGACACACTCTGAGCATACCACACTGAACATACCACACTGAGCATTTGATAAGGTCATTGTTTGCAATCTGAGTGGCCAGGTTTCCCAGCCAGAAGAATGGATAGCAACGTGCCACAATGTTCTGGTACCATCTGGCATGGTCCATGACCTAAGCTCCTGGCTAGCTACTCCATCTGCCCTTTTGGGTGCCATCTTGAATCACTTGAGCATTAACTGCATGCCATTGTTCATTGTGAATCTAGTTAACTCAAATTTGTATATACAATGTGTTCACAGTGGAATTGGTGGGTTAAATGAATATTGACCAAACACATGAAGACATGTAATCTAAAATGAAAGCACCAATGTGCTGATCAAATCAAATGAAAGCACCAATGTGCAAATGAAATCAAATGAAAGCACCAAGGTGCTAATGCAACCAAATGAAAACATTTGTGTGCTAGCTAAATTTCAAAATATATTTTGTTAAGCATTTTTTGTAATTATTGATGTTTGAACCAAACAAAATACAAATACTGATGGTCTTTTTTAATATAACAATTAAAGCAGTTTGAATGTTAACACAAATTTAAATTTCAACAAGTTGGATTTCAATTTATTAAAATAAATTGAAATTCAAACAGTTTGGATTTCAATTTATTTAAATAAATTGAAATTCAAACAGTTTGGATTTCAATTTATTTAAATAAATTGAAATTCAATGGGTTTGGATTTCAATGTATTAAAACAAATTGAATTTCAACCAGTTTAGATGTCAATTTGTGAAAACTAATTTAAATTAGTATAGTTTGAATTTGAATTTATGAAAGCAAACTTGAATTTCAATATATTATACTGATTTTGCTAAAACAAATTTGATTATTGTGAAATTGAAATCAACAAAACTTGTTGCATTCACAAAACCATAAAGACTATCATTTTCTCACATGAGTCATTGCATGTATGTGTACTGTTGTCAGTACTTGGCACTCATGCCATATTCACCATCTAGATTCTTTGGCCATCCATGTTGTTTCACATGGTTTGCTAAACTACTTGTCCATTCCTTCATTTGAGGAATCTCATCCCACCTTTGGAGAAGTCGACGCATACGATGAACTTCTCCCAACTTCCATGCCACTATCAGGCCACCAACCTTTCTGAACCATCCACCACCTTTTGAAGGTTCTTCCCATGGCACCTCCTGGAAAGACAAGATAATGACAAACAATATTGAACAGGTTCAACACTTATGTTCATCACATTATGATATCATTGACTCATAATCATAAATACCATGCAATACCATTCTTAAGCACTGTCATGACACTAACATCAAAGCTGCAACCAACAAAACTCAAAATATTTCCCAAACATGGTCCTCAGTAGAAGCTGCTTGCTTACTGCCATATAGAAACTGCTTCATTTCATTGGGAGTCACCACCAACTTGTTCTGCTTGTAGTTCCCATCCACTGGCATGGGCAGACCCTTGGCAAATCCATCAGAAGAAGTGGAGACAGGTGTGGCCACAGCAGCAGCCACTGCAGCTGTAGGTGTACCTTTCTGCATGGGGATCTGCAGAGGGGGCCCAGCTTTGGGCTTGCACCCATCAACAACTGGCTCAGCAGTGGTAGAACTTGCCTTGGAGGAACTGGCTGATGCAGAAACTGGTTCTTGTTCTGCTTGTAGAACACCACTGTCATCCAGCTTCTTGGCAAAGGTGACCAAGAGATCCAACACATCTTCCACTGGTGGCTCTGGAACTTTCTGCGTCTTTTTCTCCTGAATGGCTCAAAAACATTGAAAATATTCATTGCACATACCAATGCACAAAACCTTGATAATCTCAAACATCTAAAGCATTGCTTGGGCTGTTAAAACCAAAAAGTACTTGTCAAATTTAGATTCTTTGGTGGTTGTCACAGTTCTGCCAGTCCCCAGTGGAATCTGGATAGGCTGTGGAAGCCTAACCTTTTTCCTCTGGTGGGACCCTGGTGCTGCTGCATCATCATTCTCCCTCTTCATGGCTGCAACTAGTGAGTTGATGAGTGTTTGTAACTGATACACACATCAATTATAGGCGAACAACCCTTAGAATTTTCATGTCTGGTAAGCAATGGTCATAAATACTATTGTCTGCATTGAATTACCACAACCCACACTGCTGAACCCTTTTGCATGCAAACACCTGCAGCTGAGAAAAAACTTGAAATGCAAACAAACCAAACACATTCCTGGTGCTCATTACTGACAGCATGTAGCATGCAAATCAAAATGAAAGCCTGGAATGCTCAAAATGAAAGCCCTGAAAGGCTGAAACAAAACCAAACAAAAGCCCTATAGGCTAAAAGCACCTGAATCTATCATACAATGCATTAAATCAAAACACATACTTCCTTTTTCACATGAAACATCATTCCATTTATTTCTGATGTTGACAAGTGTGACAACATCACTGTGAAACACTTTTTTTTCCACAGGGTGGCTTTGTCCAATGCAAAACTGTGTCTCTAGGAGGTTTTGGCCTTCTTGGCCTTTGGAGCTCCCTTAGGCTGTTGCCCAGAAGACTTCAAAAGCACTGTGTGTGCTTGGATGGCATCCTCATTCTGTAGAGTTGGAATCTTCAACCCTTTGTGATTCACCCAAACTGTCTGCAAATTGATGTCTTCCTCTGCCTCAGTACTTTTGACCCAAAAGTATGGGCACAATGTGCCACTTTCAGGTTTTGTGAAGCTGCTCAAATTCTTGAAGGGCTGAATCAAATAGGGCTTCTCATTGAACCACACCACGACATTCTTGGTTTTCTCCAAAAAATTAGCTTGGTCCTTTTCTGGAGCAGCTGAGCAAGTGCCAAGGGGGTATAGTTTCAACTCCTTCTTCTTCAGCTTCTTCATCACAAACAAATTGGATGGGTGCAAAGCAAACCCCACCAAAGAGTCATCAGCCAACTTGTTGTTCATGTAGGCTTCCATCAGAAGCTGGTTGACTATTGCCTTTTCAATTTCTTTTTGCACAGTATCCACATTGTGTGGCAGCCTTGAAGTGCAAAGCTGCTGTGGGCACATGATGGTGGGCTCTTTTTTGGTAGGCCTCCACTTTTTCAATGAATCCAACTGCTCCTTCACAATCTCACTGGCAGTGAACAAGGGCTTGTGTTCAAAGATGGCCTCTGAATCATCCAAAGCCTGGAGGGTGAAGATTTTGTCAGGGTAGTCACTGTTCAAATACCTGCAGGATGGCTGCACAAAAAATAACAGCATAGTTGGCCCTTATCAAAACAGTGCATGGTTTGATCACCATTCTTAAAAAAAACATGTAAATTGCAAACTAGCTGCTTCTCTCCAAGTTTGATGTGGCTGTTTCGAAACAATGCCACTTCTTTGTTGGATGCTTTCACCATATCTTTGACCACTGGACCAGTGGAACTCCCAAAAGGTTCACTTGGTGCAGGCTGGGTTTGCAAGCTCACAGGGGCTGCCTGGAGGTCATCAGCAAAATGCTGAACTATTTTCTCAAAAGATTCAAAAGAATCCTGCTTGGCAATTTTCTCTTTCTGAAGAATGTGAAGAACCATCCTGACTGCAGCAGTGCACCAGCACATGTACCCCCAATCAAGATTGGGTTGGTTCACTTGATCCCAAAGTGAACTCAGCACTTCATCCACTTTTCTGGTGGTGTCCTTGCCTTTGAGCTTATCAAAGTCACTCTTGTAAATCAGCCTTGAAATCCCATCTTGGTGCTTTTTGCTGGAAAGCATGGCTGCTGCTAAAGCAACCCTGGTCAGAGCCATGCTTCTCCCTTGAATCTTGAAGTCATAGAAAGCCAGGTGGTTCATCATCTCTTCTCCAATCAGCAATGAATGACCATGTTTCTTGCCTAAGCTGATCTGTGATAAATGCATTATTCCAAGGGAACCCCTTGCATGACACAGCTTTTGGTGCAATCCAAATTTCAAACCAAAATCTACTAATAAGAATGGCAAAGTGCAGAAAGTGTCCAGGCATTTGAGCAAGGGAAAGGCGGCGCCTCCAGTGTACATCTTGCAAAAATGGCCCACATCATCCAAATAGGTTTTGCAGGCTGGTGCACTATGCTGCACTGCTTTCACTGCATCATCCAGCTTCATGCCACCAGAGTACAGTTCACCCAACTGCATCATGCACTCCAGTTCATTGCTGGCAATCTGGGTGCTATTGTGGCTGTTCATAGCCATGGCAGCAAATGCTGGAAGATCGGGAAACATCCTTTCAGCATCATTTGAAATCACTTTCCAGGACCATCCATTCAGAAGCAATGGTTTCATATCCAAGGGTGGTGTCAACTGAATTCCATCAGGTCCAACACAGCCATGCTCCAAAGCTCTTGACCATTGCACAAAGTGAGAGTTAGCAAGGGTGCAAAATCTCTCATCACCTTTCAAAGGTGCCAACAGGCCTTTGGCATCCAAGATCATTTTCTGATTGGCTGCAATTTGAGAAGACTTGGCTGCAGGCTCCAAAGCCATTTCCACTGCTAGTGAATTTGGTGCCAACAGTTCAGGCTTCACACCACTGGCAATGATGTCTTGACCTTTTCGATGGCAGTTGTATGGGTTGATCATGCTGCCACCTCTGTTCTGGGGGTGGCATACCATGGCTGAAGGGCACACCACTGTGTTGTACACCAACCCTTTCTCTTCAAGCAGGCTCAGCACCTTCTGCAGTCTAAGGTTGATGCCAAGGGCACAGGAAGGACTTAGCAGTGTCTTCACTTCCTGCTCCGTTTCATGGGGCACTGCCATGGCTAAAAGGCAGCTAGCAAAACCCAAAGTGTACAAAGTGGAAGTGATTTGCTTTGACATATTTTGAAACCCATGGCAATATTCAAAGGCTGTCAAACAGCACCAATGGCATGAGTTGTGTGGAGCAACCATGTGACTTGTACCATGAACATCCCTGTCATCAACATGTGAGCCTGGAAGGCTGAAAATGATTATGTGTTGGTTCAGCAACTCTTGCCACCTATTACAAACATCAAAGGTTGCACTTGTGCAAGCACAGGCACAAATTGCACCACAAAAAAGAAACAAAAGCCCTAAAGGCTCACTAACATATTCACATGAAAGCCTTGAAAGGCTGTCCAAACCAGTAGTGCTGCAAACATGGTCATGATCATGCAGTAGCTTTGCATCATACTAAATTGCCAAAAAGAAAAAACCATCCACCATCAGCATTCTCTCTTTTGGCCCAAATCCAGCAGGTTGTTTCAAAGTTCTTTGAAGATCACCTCATTGCCTAATCTTTCAGCACAGGCTTGGCAAACTTACCACTTTTGTGGTAGTGCCTTTTCGAATCATCTCCTGTACAGTCAGCAGATAAAGCATTGAAAATTGGGGCCAGGTGGTCAACATGCAGCAGCACCAAGAGATCTGCAGATTGGGCCCTCTTTGCAGGGCACAAAATGCTAACTTGAGAGTTGCCAACTTGGATGCTTACCACCTGCTCACCTTTGATTTTCTTCTCAGGAGGGGCTTCATCATCAGCTGGTGCAAGCTTGTCATTCCTTTTCTTCTTGAGTTCAGCCAGCTTGGTCCCATTGGCAATGGAAGCGCTTTTGCTGGAGCAATGGCAAACCAACCTGGATAGCCACACAGCACTGCCTTGAACCTTCAAATACTTCACTTCATTTTTGTCCTGCAGCCAATTCTTTTTGACCAAATTAAAAAATGAAGTCTTTGTTCATCCATGTGAAAACTATTTTCAACAATGCCAGCCAAACAAAACATTGCACAACAACAATGTCCTTCACCACAAAGTCAGCTGGGATGGAAACAGCTTTACCACCATTGTAGGTCAGCTCCAACTTGTAGGCAATGGACACTGGCTTCGCAAAAATTGCAGGGTCACCCTCTGCAGCTTCAGCATGCTGTTCAACATGCCCACTCTCTTCTTCAGACATTGTTTCAAATCAACAACCCTTGGACCAAAAATGCCTCCAACAGCCCAATACCAACCACAAGCAAAACAAATGAAAGCCCTTGCAGGCTAGTTGAAAAAAGAAACAACATCACCACTGAAGTATTGCATGGCTGGCACATAGGGAAGCATTTCACCCAACATGCTGCCCAGCACTCATGTCAATATATGTGCTGTTCAGCACACAATGTGCCAAATGTGTGCAAGGCATTGTTTTGGATTCAAATGTGCAACATTTTTTGTTGAAAAATGAGTACAAAAACATTAGCAAAACTAGAATAGGCACAACATACAATGCTAGTGGGTGCATTGTTTGGAATGCATCCAGGATGCTTAGATATGTCCAAGCTATATAAAAAAACACCATCTATACCTGAAAATCTTGATACATATGTAAAAGTATATACATGTGAAACATGTTACAAAATTAGCTAACTGTTACTAACTTTGCTAACTTTTTTTCCAGAGATAGCAAAATTAGATAACTCTTAGTTAACAGTTATTAACTTTTGTAATTTTGATAACCAATTATAACCTGTTAGCATGATGTTAATACTAGTTTAACATTGAGTTAATACCAAGTTAGTAAGTAGCTTAATTTTGTTAACTAGTTAACAACACCCCAGCCCATCTAAGTGAAGATCGTCAATGAATGTCGAAATTTATATATAACGGGGCTGAAAGAATTAAATCCTTATTGAAGATCGTCCATGAATGTAGAAGTTTAACGGGGCTGGGAGAATTAAACCCTCATTGAAGATCGTCAGTGAATGTAGAAGTTTAACGGGGCTGGGAGAATTAAACCCTCATTGAAGATCTTCGATGAATGTAGAAGTTTAACGGGGCTGGGAGAATTAAACCCTCTTTGAAGATCGTCAATGAATGTAGAAGTTTAACGGGGCTGGGAGAATTAAACCCTCATTGAAGATCTTCAATGAATGTAGAAGTTTAACGGGGCTGGGAAGAATTAAACCCTCATTGAAGATCGGCCATGAATGTAGAAGTTTAACGGGGCTGGGAGAATTAAACCCTCATTTAAGATCGTCCATGAATGTAGAAGTTTAACGGGGCTGGGGAGAATTAAACCCTCATTGAAGATCGTCCATGAATGTAGAAGTTTAACGGGGCTGGGGAGAATTAAACCCTCATTGAAGATCGTCAATGAATGTAGAAGTTTAACGGGGCTGGGAGAATTAAACCATTGAAGATCGTCAATGAATGTAGAAGTTAACGGGGCTGGGGAGAATTAAACCTCATTGAAGATCGTCCATGAATGTAGAAGTTTAACGGGGCTGGGAGAATTAAACCCTCATTGAAGATCGTCCATGAATGTAGAAGTTTAACGGGGCTGGGAGAATTAAACCCTCATTGAAGATCGTCAATGAATGTAGAAGTTTAACGGGGCTGGGAGAATTAAACTCTCATTGAAGATCGTCAATGAATGTAGAAGTTTAACGGGGCTCGGGAGAATTAAACCCTCATTGAAGATCGTCCATGAATGTAGAAGTTTAACGGGGCTGGGAGAATTAAACCCTCATTGAAGATCGTCAATGAATGTAGAAGTTAAACGGGGCTGGGGAGAATTAAACCCTCATTGAAGATCGTCCATGAATGTAGAAGTTTAACGGGGCTGGGGAGAATTAAACCCTCATTGAAGATCGTCCATGAATGTAGAAGTTAAACGGGGCTGGGGAGAATTAAACCCTCATTTAAGATCGTCCATGAATGTAGAAGTTTAACGGGGCTGGGGAGAATTAAACCCTTATTTAAGATCGTCAAAGAAAGTAGAAGTTTAACGGGGCTGGGGAGAATTAAAACCTCATTGAAGATCGTCCATGAATGTAGAAGTTTAACGGGGCTGGGAGAACTAAACCCTCATTGAAGATCTTCGATGAATGTAGAAGTTTAACGGGGCTGGGAGAATTAAACCCTCATTGAAGATCGTCAATGAATGTAGAAGTTTAACGGGGCTGGGAGAATTAAACCCTCATTGAAGATCTTCATGAATGTAGAAGTTTAACGGGGCTGGGAGAATTAAACCCTCATTGAAGATCGTCAATGAATGTAGAAGTTTAACGGGGCTGGGAGAATTAAACCCTCATTGAAGATCTTCGATGAATGTAGAAGTTTAACGGGGCTGGGAGAAATTAAACCCTCATTGAAGATCTTCAATGAATGTAGAAGTTTAACGGGGCTGGGAGAATTATTAACCCTGAATGATCGAATGAATGTAGAAGTTTAACGGGGCTGGGAGGAATTAAACCCTTATTTAAGATCGTCAAAGAAAGTAGAAGTTTAACGGGGCTGGGAGAATTAAACCCTCATTGAAGATCTTCGATGCATGTAGAAGTTTAACGGGGCTGGGAGAATTAAACCCTCATTGAAGATCGGCCATGAATGTAGAAGTTAAACGGGGCTGGGGAGAATTAAACCCTCATTGAAGATCGTCCATGAATGTAGAAGTTTAACGGGGCTGGGGAGAATTAAACCCTCATTGAAGATCGTCAAAGAATGTAGAAGTTTAACGGGGCTGGGGAGAATTAAACCCTCATTGAAGATCGTCCATGAATGTAGAAGTTTAACGGGGCTGGGAGAACTAAACCCTCATTGAAGATCTTCGATGAATGTAGAAGTTTAACGGGGCTGGGGAGAATTAAACCCTCATTGAAGATCTTCAATGAATGTAGAAGTTTAACGGGGCTCGGGAGAATTAAACCCTCATTGAAGATCTTCAATGAATGTAGAAGTTTAACGGGGCTGGGAGGAATTAAACTCTCATTGAAGATCTTCAATGAATGTAGAAGTTTAACGGGGCTCGGGAGAATTAAACCCTCATTGAAGATCGTCCATGAATGTAGAAGTTTAACGGGGCTGGGAGAATTAAACCCTCATTGAAGATCGTCAATGAATGTAGAAGTTAAACGGGGCTGGGGAGAATTAAACCCTCATTGAAGATCGTCAATGAATGTAGAAGTTTAACGGGGCTGGGGAGAATTAAAACCTCATTGAAGATCGTCAATGAATGTAGAAGTCTAACGGGGCTGGGGAGAATTAAAACCTCATTGAAGATCGTCCATGAATGTAGAAGTTTAACGGGGCTGGGAGAATTAAACCCTCATTGAAGATCGTCAATGAATGTAGAAGTTTAACGGGGCTGGGAGAATTAAACCCTCATTGAAGATCGTCAATGAATGTAGAAGTTTAACGGGGCTGGGAGAATTAAACCCTCATTGAAGATCTTCGATGAATGTAGAAGTTTGAAGGGGCTGGGAGAATTAAACCCTCATTGAAGATCTTCAATGAATGTAGAAGTTTAACGGGGCTGGGAGAATTAAACCCTCATTGAAGATCTTCGAATGAATGTAGAAGTTTAACGGGGCTGGGAGAATTAAACCCTCATTGAAGATCTTCAATGAATGTAGAAGTTTAACGGGCCGAGGTAGTGTTCAGAGGGGGTCGCTGGCTTGATCTTCGAAGATGCAACATATATTCAAAGGGGGTGGCGGGGCTGATGTCTCAAGGTGCAACGTATTGTTCAGAGGGGGTTGGGGAGTTGATGTCTTGTGATGGTGAAGATGCAACATAGTGTTCAGAGGGGGTTCCAGGGCTACTGTCTCAGCTTGTCCGGTGGCTTCTCGGCTTCTCGGCTTCTCGGCTTGTCCGGTGGCTTCTCGGCTTCTCGGCTTCTCGGCTTCTCGGCTTGCCCGGCGGCTTCTCGGCTTCGCGGCTTCTCGGCTTCTCGGCTTCTCGGCTTGCCCGGCGGCTCCTCGGCTTCGCGGCTTCTCGGCTTCTCGGCTTGTCCGGTGGCTTCTCGGCTTCTCGGCTTCTTGGCTTCTCGGCTTGTGCCGGGCTTCTCGGCTTCTCGGCTTCTCGGCTTCTCGGCTTCTCGGCTTCTCGGCTTGTGTCGTACTTCGCGGCTTCTCGGCTTCTCGGCTTCTCGGCTTGTGTCGGGCTTCTCGGCTTCTCGGCTTCTCGGCTTCTCGGCTTCTGGTCGCATTTCTGGGCCCCTTTTGCCCGTGCTTTGAGAACTTAAAGAAACAGCAAACATAAATTTCATTTTATAATTTCAAAATTATAAAAGTGAAATTGTTTTTTGTTATGATTTATGGTATAGTCTTTTTTTATAATCTATTGTATTGTTTAGGTTGTTTGAGTTTTTTGTTTTGTTGTTTTGTTGTTATGATTTATGTTATTGTTTTCTATAAGGTGTTGCTCCCCTGTCTTTGGTATTAACCCCATAGAATTTGCTTGTATAATAATGTGGGCGGTTAGATGAGAAAGACGGGGGAGCAACAGTCTAACTTATATATATATATACATATATACGTATATGTATATATATATATATATATCAAAGTTGGCTTTCAATTGTGTTGCATTTGCTATTTGATTCGACTTAGCACCCAAATTTGAAATGAACAGTCCTATGTTACTCTTTGTACATTGTCAAAATTTGTCAAAATAATCCTAAACTCAGGGTCAACATGCTCCAGATCGGACCAGAAACTGGCCCTATGAAGATATCCAGCATCCTGACATTGATATCAACAAAGCTCGCCGTGAGACCGCATTACAATTCATGACAATTAAAAAAAAAATCCCTTGTGTTTCTGATACCAAATCAGGGCCTGATGAACCCAGTTTATTCATCTGTCGCCGGACTTTCCACTGAGGGTCCCACACTGGTGTTCCGCCGCTAGGATGATTCCTACCAGGGGGAGCAAGCGGCGTCGGTGTCATGCACTTGTCAATTGTGGTTAGTCTATATTCTAAGTCTAACAAGCAGAGAAACTCTGAGATTTGGGTGTTTTCCAATGCTGAAGAAGCCCGCATTCGTGATCAATCTTGCCCAAGGCACAAGCCCAGCTCAATCCTTTACTGTGTTGATAATCATTTAAAGCATCATCATCAAGCCCAGCTAGAAGGGACACCCTACCTGAGCCCCGGATACTTCTGGAAGCACGGAGCAGTCATCAGCTCTCATAATCCCGATCTAGCATGATCCTTATATCCTCAACATTCTTCAATACTTCGCCTCAATGTTGCTTGGGCTCCAATGGTCCCATGGTGCATCTTTCAGCGACTTGGCTTCCGCATCCGAGGCATGTCATCTTCGTCCAACAGCTATGCCTATGCCATGTGTCACACCATGCTATGCCGTTCCAATCCACACCCGGCGCCAGGTGAACCTCTGGAAGTGGAAGGGGTTTTGCCCCCAGAGAAGCAACCTGAGCACTGCATAGCACTGCTCCATCAGTGACACTGTGGGGGCACTGTGCCAAGCTGGCCGGGTGAGCAACGGGTCACAGGCTGGGGGCCCGCACTGCCGGCCGTTGAGACCAGACACTCGGGTGGAAAAATAAGCCTCACGACGATCAGATTGCTGGAGAAAGGTCGGAAATTGTTCAGATTTTCGCAACAGAATTCACGCTTGATTTCTGTGCAAGCTACCAGTTTAATCCTCAAAAATGTGTAAGCACTTTGAATGCCCCTGTACTCGCCTCCATCAAGGACCCTTCGGGCATCTGGATCTCCTGTGGACGACACCGACATCCTTCTCACCAGCATGACCAATGCAATGAACAGTAAAAGCATGTATAATAAAATCATGTGTGGGGGATGGGAAATACGCGAAAATGGTCCTCCAATTTCTTCCACTCAGTCCATAAACTCTGCAAAATAGGAAGATGAACCACCAGTTGCGTACATGGCAGATAGCATCATCGTCATGGAACTATGATGAACTATGTATTATGTAGGTCACTGTTTCGATACCTTGAAGATCTGCCTTCCAATGGTCCGAACCAAGGTGCTCACAGATTGAAGGCATCCACTCATATCCACTCATACCCACCCAAAGGTACTACCCAGCTCTCCACTCCTCTTGCATTGCATAAAACTCACCGTGGCATATACCCCGTGAATGCCCAAATGTGAACCGACATACCCATACCCTCAATTCTTTATCATAATTTAGATGTGCACCTTCCCATTGGGTCTTCTTTTGTGGAGATATAGGCCCTATCCAAACCACCCACAGCTCAGCCGCCTCCTTTCGGATCAGATCATCACCTGATCTCTCAACCACTGGATGAGCCTTGGAAGTGACGCCTCGGCACCGACATCTGCCTGTCATCCCGGGGTCTTCCCTTGAACCCGATAGTTTCAGGTGTCAGATGTCATCAAATGTCCTTGATTTGGGCTGGCAAATCTGTGTTTGAAGCCGTTTGAAACAAATGGGTGTCGAAAAACCATGAAGCTACGCAAATGACCAGTCCCCATTTGTAGGTCCATTAATGATACAACCAGGTGCGAGGCTGAAGGTCACGGTATCCGGTCGTGCATCCGCATTGTGGTCACCTTGCTCCTGGCATGGAAATCATATTTTAAAGCCATGACTTGCCATGAAAATGTGACAAGGGGACCATGGGAGAACCAATATTGGGATGATTTGGGATACAGTACCCTTCAATTACCTTCCTCTACGTCATGAGCAGGAAATTACTAATTTCGCAGTTTGAAACTGTTTCACTGGACTCGCTCAACAATATGGACGGGTGAGTTTTCAAAAAAACACAAGATAATTGCTTCATCTTGTTCTACTGTATGAACTCCTTTGTTCGTGTCAGGATTCCTTCAATGAATCAGCAAGAAATTTGGCAATCCCTGTCAAACAAGATCAGGTGACACTGTTCACGGATAAGTATCAACCAATTGGAATTTGGGGATGCGTTTTAACAAGATCACACATCCCATGTAACGACATCCCATGACGTCCCGCGCATTCTGCACCTTGAAGGGGAGCTCCACTGGTTCCCCATCTCCACGTTTCACATGGAGCCGGTAAGGGTGCTCCTCCCGTGGCCATGGACGGGATCTGTGCAACTTAACTGTACTGGTTCTTTGGGCATGACAATACCAGCGTACCAGTACCTAGAATGGGTGGCAATTGGGATATGATCTCTGTAAGTATCATACTATACAAATTGGAATAAATGTGCAATATATTAATATATTTGTAATATATACCCAATGATTGGGGAATGAGATGCTAAACCCATCCATCCCGAGAACAACTCCTGGGTCACTATCCCTGCATAGAAATCTTTGACGCGGCGATTCCTGCGCACCACCTGGCCCACATCGTTTCTGCCATGGAGAAAGCCAGGCAGCTGGTGTTGAATTGGATTGATCCTTGATATTCTTTGATGTAGAATTGTCCCCTACATAGACACAAGTGTTCTGGTTATGCTGGTTGTGCTGCTTGTGCTGGTTGAATCTCACGGGAATGTAGAGTGTTTTCTTCATGGCCTTCCTAAACCTCTCTTCCAAAAGGTTGTCACAACCTCAGCAACCTGATGAGCTACCTTGGCAGAGTTTCAACACCAGAGACATTGGACAAAAGCTTTGCAAACGCAACCTGTCCTTCGACACGTCATGGAGGGGGCCCAATTGTGATTGGCCCAATTCGCCGATCAACAATGAAGAAGATCTTGTATTGACATGGAACACGTATCAGTGGTCACCCATCCACACCTTGTGCACACCGTAGAAAAATTGTTCCAACCTCGGAGGATTGCAACTCAAAATAAGGCAGGAGATGGCAGGAGTATAGGAAGGTCTGACACGCCTAAGACGAGTCGGAGCATCTACTCCCATAGGCCAAGGCCTTGATAGTCTTGCATCCAAAGAATTCTATAGTTGGTGACAGTTGGTGACAGTTGGTGACAGTTGGTGACAGTTGGTGACAGTTGGTGACAGTTGGTGCATATTGGAGACTTCTCAATATCTGCAAGGACTCGGGCCCGGCTTGGGTCAATCAATTTTGACGACAGCTGGTAAACTTACACAGAAATGAAGAAAAATAAACATGTTCCCCACCAGCGTCACCGGAATTCACCGGATGCTGGGCCGGCAAGCTCAACTTCCAGATTCACTTCTACCGTCTTTCCAGGAGGCCTCATGAAAGTATCAACTGGTCACATATGGTCACATGCAATTCATTCATGGTCAATCTATGTCAATCTCATGAAAACAATGATCTTATACCGTCTGGCTTGGTACCGCAATCATATACAAGTACCAGTTCTGCTGTGTATCTACTTGACCTAGCTGGAATTGCTTAGACATGTCCGCAAAGCAGCTGTTTCCCCCTTATGAAGCTATCTTTCACCAGTGAAATTTGGGGTGCTGTGAACTGCACCACACCTAGCGCACGTCTGAACCTGGACCACAGAGACCCACCTCTGCATCTCACTGATGCGCTTCAGTACCTGAAAATTCATGGCCCCAGAGCCCAGAGCTATTTAGATATGGAAAATAGATGGAAATACCAAGGGTGGTAACCAGGGGTAGAATCATGTAGAATCCAATTTTCCAGCCTTTGAGTGTCCCATAGGTACCTATCACCTGAACTTGTTGCATGAGATGCAAGAATTCCAGTCTCATCATCTCTGGAAGGCCGAGGCTCTGGGAGCGCGAGCTGTTGATGATCTTGTCTCACTAAAGGTAGTTGGGTCAATTGTAAAAACCAAAAGTGAAGCGCTCGGGACAGCAAGAAAAGGGGTATCAGATTGGTGCGTCATCCCTGTTTGATTGATCATTCCACTGAAAAAGTAACCCGGAATAGTCACCATGACTACATCAAGTTTCCCAAATTATCATTATATATACATTTATCGGAACTGATGAATTACGTTTATCCGAGGGTTCAGGCATATCATCACCACATAGCTATAGAATTGATACTAACTATAATTACTGTTCAAAGTATTCAATAATGATCAGTTGCCTGTAATGATCCTTCACGTATCACATGTATCACTACCATGGTGGGCGCCTCTGTGAGATCGAGGGCATCGGCTTTTTGCACCTGGACTCGCGGGTGAAGGGTGGAATATGGTGGAATCCAGAGTGTTTCCATTTTTTGTTTCCATGGTTTCTATTGTTTCTTCATGTTTCTTCCATTTTTTGTGATAGAAAGTCCCCTTGTGGCCAATTGAATGGTGTGGACATGTGTGGACTTTGTATATTGACCTCCCTTGGGTCTGCCAACAAAGCCACCGAGAAATTCTTGGGAAAGGTGGGGCCATGTGGGGCCTTCTCATCAAAATGTTAAACCGCAAGGTCAAAGCACACTAAACACACTCAGCGGCACCGAACAAATTCACTTCCGGGAGTCATACCCACATCAGAAGTAATCAGGTGCAGCAGGATACGATTGAACCATCTTCCATCTTCAACTGATAATCAAATGCCACAAACAAGAAGTGCTTTCTGGTTGTCATTGTCATTGCATGCAATGCATGTCTTGATGCAATGACCTGCAAATTATTGCAAAGACTTCTTTGATTGGTCGCGTGGTTTGTCCACCTTTTTTGGATCGAATGCCAATTGAACTGGCCAATCATTCGAATTATTGTCCGCAATCATGCTAAGTTCACCAACTAGCAGAACCGCGATTTGTCGCAATTGTGATCCCAAGCTCACCATTGAAGGCAGCCATGACCGAATTTGGGATCGCCCTGGCCTTGACGCCACTCACCAGCTCTTTGGCTCGATCGTAGTCTCGATCCTGGTGCGGGTGGATCCTAGCATATCGTGCTTGTGAATCATGCAGGATGAAGGGTGCGAAGTTGCCATCTACTTCTGAGACAGAAACTAGATCTCCCCATCTCCCTGATGGAACCCGGTGGTCCTGTGCTATCGACACCTTTGTACTCGGACCTACACAGCCAATGAACCTCTCATCCAGATTTATCCAGTACATTGTCAGTGCATGTTGAATCATCCAATGAATGAATCATGGTGATGTTTCATGATGTTTCTACCAGCGCCATACCCCAGGAGGGGCAGATTCCGCTTATCCCACCCCCGACCCATCCCCTCCTTGTCGTACTGTCTCCTCGTGGCTTGGTCGCCCAGGACCAGGTGCGCATTCTTCACGGAGATGAAGATGGTCTCGTAGTCCTGCCACAAGGCATTTGGCTCATTTGGACATATCTGGACATGTATCAAAATATATATATCAAAATGATCTGTGGATATCTGTGGATATCTGTGCTATGTCTTTTTTGTGGATTTCAATCATTGCTATACCATGCTATACCCATTTTGGCGACATGCCCAAATATCCCAAATCTTGCAATCTTGAGGCTGAGCTTCCAAACAGCTCCACTTTAGTCTTCATCTTGGAAGGCAAATTACGTAACTATCCCCAGCTGCCCCAGCTCTGAAAGTCTTCTCCAATATTTTCAGCAGATCCTGCGCCCTAAACCTCCCCAGGCCACACGGATCACACGGACCTGCTGCTGCTGTTGTGTCATGCCCTTGGTCTTGTCAGGATGATACACCAAAGACAGCCGCTTGTAGGCGCGATTCACTTCATCCAGCGGGGCATACTCCTCGATGCCTAAGACCTGAGCCCAGAGTCCCAGCTTGTGACCAAGAATTGATGGATATTAAAAGGTGCGACTGTAATCATCTATAGTTAATCTAAACTCGCCAAAACTTATTAATACATATTAATACATGATGTAATTCGGATAATTGTCTATGTAAACATGTTTTGTGAGTGAACCCAAGAAATGGGATTGATGGTCCCATAAATGTCTTTCGATAACCGGTCTTGCAATCACTACGTGCGGGTCATGGAATGATCACGCTGATCATTTCAGGAGAGGTTGCAAAACAGACTCAAAGTCGACTCGTCCTTCATCTTTCTTTTTCCATCTTTTTCCTACTATTTCAAGAGGCAAAAAAGAATTACAGTATTCAAGTATACTCAAGTATGGTAATGAGGAATAGACCTGCCCATACACATCCATAGACTCCATAGACCATCCAAAATATCACCCGCCTCATAGTAGTTCTGAGATCTATTGTAGTCATACGCTTTGGAAGCCGAGAAGTCTGCCTGCCCACAAGGGACGCTAGCCTTGTTTATTGGCTCTCTCCAGGGTGAGAAGTGGAGGATGGATGCAGCCAGCGCAGCCGACGCGCAACTTGTTGCTACATCTCTTCAACCTCTTTGATCTATCTAGCCAGTGTCTGTTTTTGCCCACTGGAACCAGTACGAACTGGTGAGTTTTTGGTTTATCAATGTTTATCATCCCACTTGGCAACTGCAACCACGATGAGCCAAGCATAAATGGGACACCGCCGTGCCACTCCCGGGTCCCAGCACCTCTTCAGGCGTGAAGGCCTGATCCAACATGGCACGCCTCTTGTCCTCAGCACCGAGGCATGGCACATGGGATGGCTCTCCCTCAGGTCATGTTGGGAGATGTACTATGATGATCTATGATGTACTGTATTATCTGTATTCACTTTGTTGTTACAAACACTTCCAGACACATAAACACAGAGTATACAGAGTCCAAACATGTTCAAAACTGTTCAAACGTGTCATGTTCAATCCCTCTGGCTATGACCTTCGCATACCTTCGCCATGCCTCCCCGCTGCAAGGCCAAGGCACACGTTCCTCGGAGTATTCCTTCAACAGCTCGTCGACTCGAAGCTGGGCCTCCAAAAACCGACCCAGGTTTGGTGCGATTGAGCTCCGGTATCAGAGGATAGACGCCATTTTCGGGGAAGACCCGTTTTCTAGGATATATCATATCATTATATATAATTATATATACAGTATATATACATATCATATCATATATCATATATGTATAGACATATACTGTATGTATATATATATATCATATCATATCATATCATATCATGATATGGAGCTCGTGTTTCAGGGATACTGTAAAACACACTGTGGGGATCTGAGTATGGACTAATACTGTCAACCTGGCGGGCAAATCACTTTCCAATATTAGCATAGTTCGAGTCACCGCGAAAGTCTACATCCTGGCAGCAACGTCACACAAGTTTCAACTTCCCTGTTCAAAAGTGAAGGCTGCAGAGCATCCCACATGCACCTGTCACAACCACAATCACCCCACCCCAGTGGCCCCAACCTGGAAGGCTTTACTTTGCTTCAATTGTCGCTGCTGCTCCTGATGTGCAGCCGGGCACAAACAGCAGATCTGGTGTGGGACTTTGTACACTTGGGCCTTGCAAAAGAGGAGATCCGTTTGAAGTTCGGAAGGGCTAGAGATCAAACCTCAAGCACAAGTCGATTAAGTATATAGATCAATAGTATTCAATAGTATCAATAGTTGAGCTTATGAAACCAGGTCATCTCTTGAAGGGGCATACGACATGCGAAGCAAAAGGTCACCATCACGGTAGGGAAGAAACCCTGGACGATCCTAGACGATCCTAGACGACTTGACAAAATCCCACATTTCGTGTGGGTCCATGGAACGATGCTGGGTGACCGTGGGCATATTTATATCAATGTACCATAATGTACCTGAATAGTGACTGTTTCAACTTTTGCCACTTGCTGCAGGGTTCCTATCAACAGGAATTTTGGAGGGATCTTGCTGTTCGGCGAATTCTCATCGATGCCTTTTGGCAGGCAATCAATATCATTCGGTTGCTGCTATAAATTAAGTCCCTGCTCGATAGATTAGATACATTCATCCGCAATATGTGAGGACAATCTCCATGTTGCTGGATGTTGCTGGTGATCACTTTGTTTCCCCTTGTTGGTTCGATCATGTGACATCCCTTGCTGTCTGGAGTACCATGATGGTCTGCCAGTCCTCTGTGAGTTTTGACGAGTTCTGATCTCCAAGACGTGCCAATGTCTCCTGGCAGTGTACATCATTTCACCCACCGATAGTGGTACCCTGGTAGTTTGAATACAATTGATGCTGGAGGGTGTCCTGACATTAGAATAATTTGGGAGGTTAACACATAATCCCGCTGCTTTGTTTGTTTTGAGACATATCCACATCATTCCACATCTCCATCATTCGAATTGATTCAATGCTACTGATAATATCTTTTCAGAGATGAACCCTAGACCCCACCCTTGAGGCTTGTTATGTTCGTAGATAAATAAATATATATATATATACATTATACATTATAATACATTATACATATACATACATATGTACAGGTGCGCCAACATGGAACCCTTTTTTTGTACAACGTAAGTTTTCGGGAGAGTACGTAGTGATGATTTGAACTGCTTTGCATGGATCTTCGCCGGTCTTCAAATATCTGCATCACCGCAGGTTTAGGTCGACATGGTTTTCCCATCTTGAAAAGCGTGGCTCCAAGACGGGCTTAAGAATAAGGCACCACGGCACCAATATATCCAAGATGGATCACAAATTGCTTCATGAGTCTTCATGTTGTCCAAAACACTACAAAACTATCCAATTCTGGGGTTCCACATTGACATGGTTTAACGATGTTTAACGTTTCATTTTCATGGCCCACTCTGGCCCACTGAGGATCTCTCATAGCCCAACCGGATGGCGCCTGTGAAAAACTGAAGTCGCCATCGAACGTAGCCACCGCCATTGGTCCACGGCCCCGGAAGGATGGGAAAACAGGTGGATGTGGCCATTGGGAAACACCTAGGACCTAGCCAGTGGGTGGAAAACCTAGGCAAGAAGACTGGGGGGAGAAATTGAACATCTGCATATGTCATAACACAAGTTGTTGTGATGTTTGAGCAATCTCACATTTCCAAGAAGACTTTGAACTTGTGCTGGTTTGGCGCCCAAGTGCACTTCAAAACTCATGCGTGTCCTCATCAAGTTGACAGAATTTGGGTCTCCCAAAATGTGGGCTGCCCATGTTCTGCTTCTCGTCCTATGTGTGCTGTACGCGCACAGCTACAAAATTGGTCTCTCCATAATGTGTTGTAAGCCGGACAAATCGGAGCCGGAGCACATGGTTCATCATGATTCCACCGGACATGGGTCAGTTCACCTTTCTTTACAGAACCACTACCGAAGTGAATTGCCGAGCCACCAACATGCCCTTGGTCACAGCAACACCCTCTCTGTGCGTTTCCAGTTTGCAGCAAATATGCTTGGCTCAAACATTGGATAACATGTGGCATCGAGCGGGGACCACAAATCTGCCTACACATTGCAATCGTATAAAGCATTGGAGGTACTATGACGCATATTTTGAGCCAGACTCAAATGACACCAACTTCCATGCAAGAAGTCTTCCTTCAAATTCCCCAGTTTCTATAGATCAACCACCAGCCCGAAAGCTCTGAGAGCTAAAAGGGGGTCTGAACCTGCGAGGAGATGTTGGGATGCCAAATCTTTGTGTCGAACTTCATCTTGGGTGGGTTGTACCTGTGCGGCAATGTCAGCTTTTGAAGCTATGGAGGGACTGGCTATGGTTTGGGCGGCAGTCTCAGAGCTGGGTAAAACAAAATAGCCGCCTGGGGGAACACTGCAGAATGCAGTGTTTTGACAAACTGCGGCAGTGGCTCAAAATCCTTCCCAATTTCGACCGAAGGATTCAACAGGTATCGGTATAACGGTATAAGTATGTCCCCAAACTCAGGGCATCCGAAGACAACAGGTGTTACAACAGGTGTTACAACAGTTCCCAATAGAAAGAACGGGATACGTTGGGATCCCAGAACTGGGCACGGATATTCCGCTGGAATTTCGATGTCGATGTCGAAAAGTCCACCGGAGTACCTCACCGCACACCATGCATCAAGCTGCAGCTTGGAAAAAAGATGAAAAGCTTGGAAACAAGGAAAACAAAAGATATGCATCACATTGCATCATACTGCATCATACTGCATCACATTTATCTTCATTTGGTTGGGTTCCCCCAATCGTCAGAAACACACCCAAAAACTCAAACAAATGTTTCCAGTAACCACGTAGCTTGTCTAAAGCAGTATTCAAAAATATCTCCGCAAAAGGCTCCGTCAAACAGCTGAAACTCCGTCTTTACACAGGCTGCGCACGGCGTTCCCTCTGGACCTTTAAGCCACGCTTTCCAGTGGGTGAGGTCGTTGTCAACCTCATGGGGCCCCCCGGCATACCCTTCTACTGTACGTAGAAGGCTTACAGGGTTCAACAACTGATGAAAATATCTCTGAAGAGATGCATGAATTGCATGTTATATACAAAATTATACAAAGAAATCAAACCTAATTTACAACCCAATGCAACCACCAGCCAATATGGGGCGACCATCTTCAACTTAGCCAGAAAGCCTCCAAGATCTTGGCAAGGATGGCCGAGCTTCAACTCACAGTCACTTCAACCCAGGGTTGATAGTTTGGATACGTGGCAAATTATTGAATATTTATTGAATCAAGCTCTCGGGAGTCAGAGTCTCAGAGTCTCATTGGTCGGCGGTACTCAGTGGTCTCAGCGGTCTCAGAGGCACTGACAGAGTCCGCAGACACCTGAGTTTCCTTCCCATCTTTGGCAGCGCGAATGTCCTGAGACCGTGGCAGCATGTGGCAGCACTTCTTGAATCCTGAAAGCTCCAAATTGGATCCAGCTGTATCCAGCTGTTCATCACTGTTGTATACCTGGAAGATACAAGCCTCAAGGTTGATCGGAATCACATCATCCCACATTGAACGATGATGTGGTCTTGATGTCACTGTCTTGCCGTTGCAGCCGTTGCCCTTGTGATTAAGACCAAATTCTCAATTCAAATCATTGGATACAAGTAATAACTTATCTGAGAACTAGTCACTCGTCCAGTCTTGCATGCAATGCACAAACACAAGCCCCTTTGCCGGAGTCTTTGCTGCTTGCTGATCTGGATACATGCCCTGAATCCGCTGTGTCACAAAGTTGGGTGCCCAATATTCATCCAAACATGTTGCCGCTTGGAAAGGAAACATTGGGCACAACGGGCAGAAGGCTTACTACAAAAAATGGCCAACATCCAACTTTGCATGTTGACGGGCCCTGAAATTCAGCCCGTTAAACAGAATAGATGCCATGGTGTGTTCCAACTCCCCCGTCGAATCAAACTGCGCCTGCAACTCCTTTTCTAAGCGTTTCAACTCTCTAGGCCTCGCCGCCTCAGCAAAACGTGATTTTGCATCTGGAAGTTGTTTACAGAAATATACATAAATTAGCGGGAAATTAGGAATCATGTTTTTGTTAACCCTAATAAATTGCAGCTCCGAAATGAACCAAAATGGATCAAAATGGAATGTTTTGAACTTGGGGATCAGCCACATTTCAAAATTAGTTGTTTGCTCATGTTTCCTGGTGTTTTTCCCTGTTGATCAAATTGGAATGAAAATATTACCTCCACGACAGACAGTTGAGCGGCTTGGAATCGTATTCTTCATCAGCCTTACCAGCACTTTCGGGCTACATTATGTAGAGCTTGATGGGCTTCAATCTGGTTTAATCTGTTCAGTTATGCTCAATTGATTTTGATGGAACACACCTCTATGATACCAGCAGTTGAGTTGTGTATATTATAAGTTGTGCTATCTCAGTTCGAGCCAGTGCCGCCCGTGGAAATGCTGCAATGGACTCAAGATGACTCAAGTCACAGAATCTGGAGCGGCCATTGCTGCCAGGTTGCCATGTGCAGCACCCGCAATCTCCTAGCGCGAGTCAACCATTGGCTTAGAGGTCCCACGCCTCTGAAAATCATTGCTTGGGATATGCGGCTA